TATGATATAAAAACGAGTAATGCTATTCATCCTTACTAGAGATGAAAACACAATTTACTTAGGGTTAATGTGGTATTAAATGATATGTAAAATTAAATAAGTCATTTAATTTCACATTTCATTTAATTTATCACATATCACCTCATAGATTGAGGTTATAACCCCAGTAAGACTAAATAACATTATTTAACATTTAGAGCATGACTTCAAAGTCAATGAGCGCATGACACAAACTGATGAATAAAATGTGATACTTAAAACAGAATTAGTTACAAACTAGCCATGGCTGCCACCTATTGCCTATCCAAAATGATCCATTTACCCACAAAACCTCGATAGAAATCTTTAAATACTCCTACTCAAGAGAAGAAAATAATTCAAATTCAAATATCTCCCTCTCAAACAGTCATTTCTCATATTGCTCAGATTTGGGCATCATATTGCTCTGATTTGGCTAGCTAGATGAAAGAAATTTGTTGATCGGATTTCTATCGTCAACATAGCCCTTTCACAAAATTTTTCACATGTGAAATGTTGTACGTGAAATCTCAATCAAAAGTTTGGGTTGTGTCACTTGTGATTGACTCTTGTAAGTACTTGGGTGACTTCCATTATAAGGAACGTCGTTTAGTACACTTACCATTGCAGCATAATTGAGAAGCTAAGTGCTGCATGGTAGATCGAAAGAGACAAATCTTGACAGATGATACCTAGGAAAATGATGCTTTCGTAAGCTAGCTAGGTGTGTTTTTCACAATGCATGTTGGAAGAGAAGGTCTAGCATGAAAGATAAGAGCCAATTAGGATAGCCAAGTGATGACCCCTATAAACCACACAATTAATTACGAGTCGAACCCATAATTGAGAATGAATGTAGGTAAGTCATCCTTGGCTACCAAATCAGGCTCATCAATTTCATACCAGGCCTCTCTTCCTTTCACTTAAGTTTGCTTGATGAATTGAATCAACAGCAAATAAGCCATATATATAGGCNGTTCATACAAGGCCACTCTTCCTTTCCCTTAAATTTGCTTGATGAATTGATTATCAGCAGCAAATAAGCCATATATATAGGCAATGAAAAAGGTCAATACCTTTGCCTTCTCTATTAGATTGAGTCTTTTCGAATGTTGATTATGCATGAATTGAGTTCTCACAAGGGCATATATTCCTCCAGTTGGAGGGAGGGACCAAACCTTACTTATAATGTTTGCCAAGTGCCATATTGTCAATAAGTCAAATAGCATATTCGAGTAGAAAAAAGTCTGAAAGTTCATCCAAAATATGTGTAAGTTGCAAAAAAAAAAAAAAGCATTTTGTAGTTGACCTCAAAATTGGGATCGAATCCTGTACATCGGGCTAGTTGCATCGGCCACAATTGGAAGGACTTTTATGATTGCATTTTATAAGAAGGAAAAAATTTGGTTAAGCAACGAGTAAGCATTGAGATATATCATATATTTTATTTTACGTTTGAAAGCTTTAAAATAAGAGGGCTTGTATTTACTTTCGACTTTCTGATGGAGTACAAGATAGAGCAGCAGCATTCCTGGAGCAACGGCTATTTACTCTAATTATTTTTATATTTAAACCCTTTCCATAATTCCTTTCGTGCAAACCCTTCATCTAAATATAAATATGGGATTTATTTATATATTTAAAGTTATATTTTACATGAAAGACGGCATAGGCGAAGACTAACATCAAAATATACAAACAACATTAAATTCAAACAACATTTTTGTTATAGAATAATTTTCTTCAATGTAAAAACAGCTTCTAACTCAAATTCTCAGTGATTTATTCGTGGAAATTACAGTGAGTAAAAGATAGAACACAACAGAGAAAAACGACAGCACAACAGATAACGTAATTCTTTTGCAATATTTGGCAAAATGGTCGCGAATCCCAGTCCAACCAGTGTGGCCTTCCCCATATTTCCCCAAGTACCCTATCACGGTTGCTGCTGCGCATCCTGCCATCAACAACATTGTCAAAATCTGTTGGTCGAACAATTTAAAATCCTCATTAGTATGTATACAATTTTGGTTTATTTGTCTTCTTTAATACTGTCTATATCGTATTAGGTATGCTATAAATGATGTACCAAGTCGTACAGAAAGATGATGAAGTAATTTCTTGAATCCACAGCCTTGTAACCAAGGAGGAAAATAATAAACAAAGACAGAACTGAAAATGCACAAGCAATAATATTTGCAAGTGCAATGAACCTGCATCCAACAACAAAAATCAAAAGTCAGACAAAATTATGTGTGATTATGTAAAAAATATGCCCACGCGATTAATGTAAATAGATCTTACTTTAAAGCTGACGAATAGCTATAACGTGCATTGACCACGATCCCGGAAACCACGCTCGCTAGTGATGACAAGCCATGTAGCAGCCAATGTACATGCAATGGCCAACACTCTTAACAGAATCTGAGATGCAAATGATATTTTCTGAGTTTTATGCAGAGATTTATTTCCAGTATTTTCCATTATTTCTTCTATCTTTTTCTTCTTCTTTCTGAATTACTGCAGAAACTGAGGAACAGATAGTATTTATAGGGAGAGACTGAGGGAGGAATAATTCAATATCAAGTCCACGGTAAGTGGTAGATTTTGTCATTTTCTGTTAAGAGGAAGGAAACGGAAGTATAATAAAAGTAGAGATTCATAATTTTTCTTTTAGAAATAATGCTATCCACTGCCACCTATACTAGATGGGTGCTAATCGGCACCGGCGTTGCATAGAAATATTTGATTCCGACCGCTCAATTTAGCATACTGTCTAATCTTTGCTTCCCCTTATATTATATTTAGTATTGGACTAGAAACAAAATTACAAGATTTTGTTTTTTGTGTTTAATATTGTCTTTTGATACTCATTAATGGATAGTGCAAAATGATTTTATCTTTTTTTGGTATTCAATAATCAATATTTTCTAATAAGGAAGTATAATAAAAGTAGAGATCCATAATTTATTTATGAATAATGTTAACCAATGTTACCTAGATGTGCTATCCATTTACATGGGCGCTAATCAATGGTGATGCTACATAATTTTATTGAACTATTCCATTAAAAATTAAAAATTGAATCGTTACATACCATTATAAGCATATGTACAATGTACTACAATCTCATTTTTTTTTTTTTAGAGTAAACCTGGACTTGTGTCTATACTTCCCTTTCAAAAATGTCTACATTCAATACTTAGTATTGGATATAGGACAAGCAGTACTGTTAAGAATTAACTCACCCACATCAGCTTGCATTAGCTCCAGCTCAACCGATGAATCATCAGCCTCTTGTCCTTGCTATCTTTCATTGCCGTTTCAGCTAAATTAGTGCCACTCAATCTATTGTAAAAGATTCCCAACACGATCCACAATTTCAGGAACTAACCAACAGCTATATTTTCTAGATTATTCTTTAGACATTCTTTGTATTATATAACTCTCACGCTTGAGCAATGAAGAATATGGTTCATTGCCATCTTATGTATCCACATAAATTCTAACTTGGTATCTGAGCAGCCATGGCCAATGCCGTAATACACCACAGAATGCTGATCCTATCTCTACCCCTGTATCAATCTCAAACAGTACTGCTACTCCCATGCCAGGTTGCAACCAATTCTCACCCTTTGGTGTTAACTTGACCCAAGTTGTACCAATAAAGCTTGATAAGAACAACTTTCTGCTGTGGAAAAATATGATTTTGCCAATCATTCGTGGACACAATCTTGAAGGGTATATTCTAGGGACAGGTGTGTCCTCAAGAATTTATGGCTACCTAAGTCACTAGTGAAGCAGGAACCAGTGTTGAGATGATTAAGAATCCTGAACATAGCCAATGGATGTCAACAGACCAGTTACTAATGGGATGACTATATTCCTCAATGACTCCTGGCATAGCTATGAGAGTCATGGGTGCAACAAACTCAAATGAACTATGGACTGCCATTGAAGAGAGTTATGGAGTTCAAAATAGGTCTAGAATCGCCTTCCTTATGGGTGAACTCCAAAAATCTAGAAAAGGAACCATGAATATTGATCAGTATTTGAACAAAGTAAAGCAACTTGTAGATAACCTTGAAATTGCTGGCAAAAGCATCACTCACACAGACCTGGTTACTCAGGTCTTGGCCAGTTTAGATGATGATTACACACCAATCGTTGTCCAAATTAAGAGCAGGGATCACATCCCTTGGGGAGAACTTCAATCAACACTCATGACTTATGAAAGTAGACTTGAACACCTCAACTCAGTGAGAAATGAGATAGTGAGGATTAACATTGACCAAACATCAGCTAATCCTTCTCAGAGATCAGGTTCCAATCATCATTTTTTAAGATCTTAGATGCTAAGTATGGGTGGAAGATTTACAAATTTCAGCAACTACAGAAGTGGAAGAAGAGGCAGAAACAGAGGAGGAAACTTACATGTTGGTGACATACCTATTTGTCAAGTGTGTAGAAAAATTGGATACAAGGCAAACATCTGCAATTTTAGGTATGATGAGAGATGTACTATTGCACCACCAAACAAGAAGTTTAGCTATAACTCTTTACCCACTGCTAGGGCTGTAAATGGATCAGATTTGCATATATTCCATCCGATCCGATCTGACAAGAAAATTATCTAATCCGATCCGATAATGCAACGGATATTTGATAGTTAAATCCATATCCGGTTTGCTATGTTATCGGATATCCGATCCGAAATTAATAAAAATTAGGAAAAAAAATGTTCTTTAAAAAAGTTTGAACTAACTTGAGGCGCACTTATTTTTACTAGTAAACCCAGTATTGACTTCTACCATCATAATGTTCATTTTTAAAGGAGAGATCATCTTCTAGTTTTCTATTCACATTCGATGTGGGATAATGTAAAATTGAATTTCAATTCTAAATATAAATATTTTATTTCATTATTTCTATAAACAAATCAAATTATTTGTTACATATTAATTATTAGTTTTTGAAATTGTAAAATTAATTACAATAATAAATTTAATTAAGAAAAATAT